GCAAAGGTCCTAGAAGAGTGTGAACGTAACAGTGAGTGCTGCAAGCGCATATCATCTATCTACGACTCTTCCTAGCTTGCAAAAGAGCTTCAAATTCGTATCAGTGGTGTTTATCTCGCTTAGACCCTAGCCTGTGCCATGAAAGATTCTGTTTTGGCTGTGGTAACCCAAAAGTCGTGTTGTGCATGAAATAAATCCCTGTAATTACTAGGAATAGGATGAGTCATCAACAAAATTGTGAGATTCGAAAAAGAATACACTACGAATATTACCTTAGAAAGCCATGCAATCAAACATTCGAGTAAACGAACCGAAACTTTAGTAATAACCTTCAAACGGCCGCGAGTTGATGACTCATTCACGCCTCTGCGAGTCCACACTCATTTTCACTACACATTTTGTCGAGATGAGAACTGTATGAACAAATCGCTCAAAAGCATCGATAGAGCATCGATCGTTGCACGCCTTTTTCATCCTCCCACCTCTGACCAACAGTTCACATCATGTGAATGTTGTCTGCGCTGCACATGTGCAGCTATGAGAACCCGACTGCGAATAATATGTAGAACGAAGCAAAATTAACTTTACAGATTCACCTCCGCTCTGTCCAAATGAAGCATGTCGTCTACCTTATAGATGCGAAACAGTGCTAGCATTAAAAGCGTTGTTTCCTGAGAGAGCGGCATACTTCAGTCGTTTTGACTTGGAGTCACACTACTCGATGGAAGCATTGAAAGACGACAGTATTACGGTACGTATAAAAAGTCGATACCTATTTGCTAGGCTCACAGAAAAACTGTATCATCGGTCGGTTTGACATGCACTGACGTTCCGGTTTGCGCGTTTATGAAGCAGACCGAGGCAGATTCGCTGCACAAACGTAAACACAATGAAAATGCCCGTTCGTCCATTTGCTATGTCGCAGCAGCTTGTTCTTGGGCAGCTTGGAAACCGTCTAGGCATACATCATGTCCAAGTCTCTCGCTAGGTAGATGGAGGAAGAATACTGCAGATGGGCTCCGGTTGCGCGGACTAATGGTCGCAATATGGCACACTGTCTGTATCTATGTTCTCACAGGTACTAGCGTTCCGCGATCGCTTCCCTTCCTGCTTTCAATAGATAACTTTAGCATAACTAAGGCGCTCATTCGAGTGAAGCTGAGAATGAGGAAGAAGCAGCGAGTTGAGTGTGAAATGACAGGAGCGATGGGAACCTTCTTGATTCACAAAAGCTATAGTGCCTCAAACAAGTGCGCACACTGTTTGATCTTCGATTTCGAACTTTGGGAACTACTTTTGTAGGGCTGGCCTCAGCTTAGATTTACAGTATAAAGCGAATCTCGTATTATTCTTCGTTACCGTAAAAATTACGATAGGAAGCTTCAGCATACTACTGTGTAATAAATTAGATTTGATGAGAAAATTCAACAAAAGAAAAACGTATAAATTTGTCAGAGTTTTCACTTACTGATATTATTGCGCAACGTTTTACAAAATTTCTGAGCTTTTTTAGAGGTACAATCACATTTTTGAAGAGCACTAAAAGAGCAGCTATTAATTTTTCTGATGTAACTTCTAAAAAAGCATGACTCTGGTATGCAAATATCATGTCTGAGACTAGCGATTATATGATTAGCCTAGTATAAGAGTTTTTGGCTTTTGTGGCTCAATTCTGAAGCAAAATGGGACCATTAACGCTTTTCAATCTCCTGCCGTAATTCTATATAACTAGAAAGAGAGAGAGAGGGAGAGAGAGAGAGAGAGAGAGAG